ATCTATGTGGTAAATATGGACTGGTATATTTACCAGAGTAAGAGGTATTCATCCCTGCCTGTGCACCAAGATGATCATTATGGAGACTGGAACTGTTAAATTCTAGAAAAAAAACGTTAAAGGGTCTTAAAGCACTTTAATCAGTCTCTTGGATATTACATTATTTAACATGTGTGTAGTGTACCCTATTTTTACCAGTTTTAGTTTTTTTTTTATAAATGGGCTGCTATTTAAGGTTCATCAGATAAGGAGGAACAGCAGGTGGAGTGGAGATGGGAAAGAAATTTTGATGCATACTATGTACTTATTTTCTCTCTAGTTTCCCAGCTCCCATTTGCGCCATATGGTCTGCAGAACACAGGGCACACAGTTTTTTTTATCATGCTTTGATCTATAGATATTGTTACTTTTTAATATCTGTATATCCACTGTAGATGCTGAATGATCACATGTTGGTACGTATTGGTGGAGGATGGGACACATTGGAGCATTACCTCATGACCCATGTACCCTCTAAACAAGGTACCTGAGCCAAATAAAATCATAATATTTATTAATCTTGAATTTATTTTTCGCAAATATTGCCACTGATTATAATTAGGTCAATCTTTCCTTGAGAGCAAGTGACTCTCCGTTGAAAATTCAATATAGGTCTTGAACTCAACTGAACAAAAAAAAATCATTTTTCTCACAAAAAAATTGCACGTATATATGGTTGGATTACCCCATAAACAGAGTTTCCACCTCGGAACTCTGCTCACAGGCTGTGAATGAAGGGGGTGGGCGAGAATCGCCATGAAATAAATACGTTGTGGGAGCCACATTTTTTCGTTTTAATTTTATACTTTAACGCTTACTATACGAACATCTCTAATTAGTTAGGAATCATTACTTAACACAAGTGCAATCAATAACCTGCTCTTCATCTAAAGCTTATATTATGAAGCAGAAAATTGTTCCGATGCTGCTCATCACAGTGAATTTCCAAATGGATTTTAATGTTTTTTTTTTCTTTTTTGCTCGCTTGAAGTGAACAGAAACGGGTGCGACAATATCTCGACTTTTGTGTGATCAATCCGATCGTTCAGAAAATCAATACAATTTGTATAGTGCCAGGCACAGTACATTGTACTTGCATGATTTGGCTGACTCATTTTTTATCGATATTGAACATGGATTAAAATATAATGCACAGCGTCACAGAAGAAAAAAATTAGAATTTGTAGTTCTCTTTACCTCAGCAACTTTTATAAACAGAATGACAGGTGACGAAGTTATGTAGCCTAACTTACCTTCTTTTAGTTCTTTCCATCAAAGATCGAAACAGCGTGGGAATATATCTTTCCAGACCCACAGCGACGCGTTTGGAAGAAAAATGCAACAGTAGAACTTCCACGATGTCTGCTAGCGAAGGAGAAAAAGTTGGAAGTTAAATATGTTTTTTTAAGCTCTAAAACTTGGCTGGCAAGCTTCCGATGAAAATATTGTAATTTGCATACAGCTGATCTGGACATTATTTTGACAGCTTTTGTCATTCTGATGTTTTGATTGGTCGAAATCCACAACACGCCCTTGGGCTATCAATATTTCTTCTTTGACTCGCCCAAGATTGTTTCGACTAGATCGATCGTAATAAGAGAAGTTCTGTTTTATTTGCGAGGTTGTATATCGGTTGGAGTCGTCTGACTCTCGGTTTCTTCATCTTTCTGCCGCATGGTTCCTGACCAGTCTTTCTCAGTACATCATCCTTGAAGGTAAAACATTATTAGTCAAGATTTTTTTTTGTTTTCTTTACGCTTTATTAATCGGCGCTCTCCGTCTCAGATGTTTTTCATGTCAGGGATTTTCGCTGAGGTAAACGAAGCTGAAATGTTGTGAAAGATTAAGTCAGATAGTTAAGTTTCTCTGTGGTTGGGTTGGACCTCGTATAGAGGAACGTTGATTGATTTTATAATTCTTTCGAACTACATAAACTTGAGGTTTTGCTTGTTATCCTTGAATGCTAATCTAAAAACATGCCAATCGCCATTTGTAAGAGTCATCCTGCTGTGATCGCAATATCGCTCGAGTCATGTAACGTTCACGGACACGAATGACTTGTCCGTTTTAAAAGCATAACCTCAGTCTGAAATCAACTGGCTCTGAATCTGGTCACGATGATTGTAGATGCTTCTCTTACGCTTCCATTCTTAGCGCGTGGAAGAAGTTCGAATCGCGCTTCGACGCACCAGACAAAATAATAAAGTGAAAGTGGAAGGCGTGAAATCGCCAATGCCGTAATTTTCTATTCATCAGCGCGTGCAAATTTTCACGCAGACTTCCTTTCAGACGTTCTGTTAGCTGTAGTGAATGCTGTTTTACTGTATGAAGGAAGTACGATCTCATAATTGTGCTCTTCTGAATTCTTTGAGCGTAGTTTTGTAATATGTCGCACCACCAGCCGAGAATAAAACAAACCCATGTGCATGTAGATACTAAAGTACATCGCATAATCACACCTCAACACGCGATGGAGAAAGAACCTCATTAAAAAATAACTGCTAAGTTATTTATGCTCCTAATACATTTTCAGTTTGAAATACTGTAACTTGCATTGGAATGCGTACTATAACTATTGCCCTCTTCTGTGGTAAACAATATACCCTGTCGTATTTGTTTTGCAATGTAATTTGTAATTACAATATCAAGCCTGTCAACCATAATTTGAAATGTGTTATTAACTTTGCGTGATATATTTTTCAGATTTCTCGACTGATTTCTGTAAGATTGTTTAACATTAACTTGGCACCAAATTGACCTCAAATGAAAATGTTTTCATCATAATGTCATTTTAAGTCTGAAAGGTTTTTGGTATATAATTAATTTTATATTGCAGTTTATTAAGTATTTTCAGCCAGAGAAAAATAGTGTCTGATTTTACACATGCAGAATATATTTAAGGGTAATCTTAAGGCTGTTGAATAAGTCTATAAGAGGCTGCAGTCAATGTTTATTGAGACTGGGCAAATAACCACACCCAGATGGGACATAGTTTTCAGCTAATAATTGAAATGTCTCTAAGTTTAATTTTCCCATAGATATTCTCAAGGGGAGTGTGGAAACAATTTGTTGTCAATCCCAGCTCCAAATAATTATTACAATTGAAACAAAAACAGCATTCAAAATAATACTGAAAATTCATCCAAGTTATTTTAAAAAAACCACAAGTGACCCAATCGTAAATTAGTCTCACAGGTGCTGTGGAGGTTTGAAAAACGTTTGGAAAATGTTTTTTCCCAACAACCAATCACTTTTTTTGTCCTGAAGTTATATGCAGTTATAGCATAGTTAATTTCTATTACAGGGGCAAAGACAGAAGTTAAAAGTAAGCTTAGCAAATGCATGTTACAGCATTGATAATATCAGGCCTTAAATGAGGTTGAACACTGGATATTCATGTGTAGAAGTGCTGGGTTTTCTTAAAGAACGGAGTTGGCAAGCTCTTGGCAAAACTGATGCTGTAGTAAGGCCACTGTTACCATCATGTTGGATGGCCATACTAGATATGATATAAATGGAATTTTCTATCTTGTTTTGTAAAGTGTTTAGACTCAACTAAGTTTCATTCTTTTTTTCTTTAAGGGTGAAGATATAAAAAATAATAGGCCTTATACATGCCATGTTCAGACTAGCTAATTTCACCACCAAGTCTTGCTTTGAAAATGCAAATTATAAATTTTCTCATTAACAAATTCCCAAACCTGCTAACATGAAAAAAAAAAAATAAAAATAAAAAAATAAAAAAAAATATATATATATATATATACACACACACATGAAATCACACAGAGGAGGCCTCATTGGTAGGGGGGCCTGAGTATTTCAGATCCTGTAAATTTTTGGCCTTAGTATCCTGTATCGGGATAATTTAATCTTTCAAAAGCTAAAAAGATTTTTACTAGATATCCTGGGTTATCTGCTCCAAGTATCCCACGTCTCATTAATCTTTCTCCCAAATATAAGGGGCACCCAACGACCGTTTTCTCTCAAATGCTTTTAAACGCTGTTTTAGGCTATCTGGAATACTTTTAAAGCTCTGTGTGTTAATTTTAGGTTGCGCTAAAAAATTTTTTTATCTGTTCGGTTATTCTAGGGGAACTTGAGTATTCTTGAATTTATTAGGGCTTTTTTGTCCATTCCCCGAAAACCTTAGGTCTTATC